TAGGAATGGGATGAAATAACGTTTAGGAATTGTGGCATTATTTTGGCGTCAGAAATCGCTCTAAATGTTACGTACTTAAATACGAAAACTGTCTGTAGATACGAAACGGAAAAGACTTATAACGTTGCATCAAGTGAAAGGTTACCAAAATCACACGGAATGCTAATTGGAGGAGTGATGTACATGGGTGATATGAAATGGAACATTTGGAGGCAATTTAATGGTACTTTTTAATGGTACGGAACAAATTTGCGTAAATAGTAATTGTGTAACTTACTGCTGATGCTTTGAAGATAACGTGGAATGAGACCTAATGTTGTGTATCTGCAGAAATAAGAAACGGAGAACTATAATGAGGAAGGCATCAGTGTGTGCATGTTTAATGGCATAGGGAGAGACGTGCAGCAATCAGATAAGGAATAGTGGCTTACTAACATCTTTTGTTGTGTTATTGAGCTCGTAAATGTTTACTATTGAAATTGGATGCGGGCCATTTGTTTCATTTGTTTTGGTCAATGAGGATGAATAATCGCATTAATTAAATTTGTTTACGTATGTTTACGTGTTTTTTTCAAGGTTAATGCAAATAAGAATATGTGTGCATTTGCTAATTTGTCCGCGTTCATGTAGAAGGGGTAAAATGATAAGGCGTATATACATATATGTATATATATATATATATATATACATATATATATATATGTATACATATATATATATATATTCGTTCTTATTTAACCCAATTTGACATGTACGCCGGCAACTTAGCAAATGCACACACATTCTTATTTGCATTAACCTTGGGAAACACGTAAACATCCGTCAACGAATTTACTGATTGCGCTTAATCATCCTACTTGACCCAAACAAATAAACCCCATATATATATATTTATATATAAATGTATATATATATGTGTGTGTATGTATATACATAAATATGGAAGGCACACATGTAACTCTCTCTCTCTCTCTCTCTCTCTCTCTATATATATATATATATATATATATATATATATGTATATATATATACATATGTATATATATATATGTATATGATTAGGCGGCGTCCGTATCCCGATTTGCCTGTCACTGTGATGTCCATGGGGACAGTCACAGGACGCCTGCGCCTATATATATATATATATGCATAATAATACACAGACATAGTTTTAAAGCTACTCCTGATAATACCCCTTCTACCTACATATATATAGATGTATATGCATAAATATAAACATATATATATATATGTATATGCCAGTTTCTATGTTGTCGTCATATGTTTGTATAGATCTATATATATATGTAGAAACATATAAATACACAACTATATATATTTGTGTATATATATATATATATGATGAACATGTGTATTCATTGGTGGAATATACATGCATACCTACACAGATGGGTAAGCAATTTGTACTTGCATATAATGATGTATGCCTTCAACGAATAGGTATGCATGAAATGGCATAGGAAAAGGAATATATGCGTACATGTGTATATATGTATTTACGTATATATATATGTATATATATATATGTATATATAATGCAGGACACTGGTATACCTGATGCCTTGTGAGATGCGTTTGAAATATTTACCTGTTCATATGATGGCTTTCTAAAGTAATCCTGTTTGCTTACCACTTCGTAACGAAATCGACCTATCATCACTGCGTTTACATTATTGAGTAATCCGCTTTAGTAACAAATGCAATGCTCCGTGAATGGCATGTTGCAAGAAATAGTGAAATCTGATCGTCATAGGGTGCTCAGCAGCTAATTAACGTCTGCTATTGTGTGTCACTGTGCATACCACTGGGGCTTTGCTAGATAAGTAATGATATCAAACCAATGGTAATCAGTGAGGATGTATCAATGATTAATCAAATGGCCGCTGCTGTACGTGTGGGGAGACGCTCCGGCATGGTTAATTGTGCAAGTCGGCGCGAATCACCACGGTGTTTCTTTGGGAGGGGTTAATCCCATGATTTGGTACCACAGGCAATAGGTGTACGCAGTGTATCAGTCACCGTCTACCCTGGGCTATGGTGCTGCCTGTGTGTTATGGAACCTCGGTATGTGTCATGGTCACTTGGAGGACACCGGGCGCCTGTTCATGTATACCTAACAAACAGGTGCACTGCTTTCTGTATTACCATGCATCATGCTTGATTCCAAGAAACAAGCAATCAACGAATCGTTTGAAAAGTATGCAGTGCATTGGACGGCTTTACTCCGTCCATGTTATTATAATTGCCCATGCAGACCGGAGGCATCATTTCTGAACGGCGGTGCACATGCAATGCGGAGAGACGAGTACGGGGAAATTAGTTGTTGTAAATAAACTTAAGCGTGACATAATGTTACTGTGATGAACGTTGACGGTGGATGATAGATTGTCAGCACGCCACAGGTAAAAATGGGATGCTCAGGGAACCTTACTAACCTTTGGTATTGAGAACAGTTTCGTTGACTTCCGTGTATGAACTGTGTCACGAAGGGTATTGGCCACACTGCAGGCGGATGATGTTTAAACCATTCACAAATATTCCCGACCTTGTGGGTGATCTGTTTCAAGGCTCCATACCCACTATTCGGGAAGCCTGAGAAATGGTTCATTGATCCTTGGAACAAGTAGGGGACCATGACTGTACAACTGCGTCAGCAGTTACCTGCAATGGAAAGGCGCATTAAGTGCAATGGCTGGTTGATGTGGATAACTAGGGACAGTATACAGGTGATGAGTTTGCTGAGACGGGTTGCTCGATAGAGAATACAGGCATATGGATACCATGACATGGTTTATAAGAAGAACGTGACATCACGCATACGAGGAGACACGTGTGAGTGATATATGACGTATGACATCGGGCATATTAGTAGCGGTGTCATTTGCTAACATGGATTGCATAACGTAATTGACGGGGTGAGCTTCCTACAAGCCAATGTGTACGGATGACATTTGCAAATAATTGTCCGCAGTCAGCCGGAATTGTGCTTTGTAACCCAACATGTGACAGGGAGTTGGCGCCGATGCGATAGATGAGAATGTAATGTATACCGAATGCCGTTTTCCATGTATCGTTCGGCGTATGCTCAACCTTTAGACGATATTTGTCGAACTTGCATGGTTGGCGTTCCATCATCGTGGTGGATAGTTTCCGTCATTCATTCATTCGTCATTCAACCTTTATAGGTCTCTTACGCCGACGTTCTGTATGTCATCAGGTCAGCGCACAGCCGCTTCTAGATAACTGCCCAGCTGTCAGTTACCTGTCTTTAACATGGAAGTAATAGGAGTGCAGGTTCCTTACTGGCTTTTCCATATTTTCTGCTACCTGTGTAGTGTCCCGTTAGCACGCTAAAATCATTTGACTATCTGCGCGTTGCTTTTTTTTAGTCTCTAGGCTCTTAACTAATTAGAAACCATATCGCATGCCTGCGCTGCTCCCGTTTGCAGAGGTTGCATCATGTAACCTCATCTCTCTTTTGTCCAGCCAACAATTGAAGTATTCATGGTTCGCCACGCCACCTTTGTATACCATCATTTATATATGCATCACTACATCAATGACAACTACGTGTACCGTAGTTTCTGTCTCTTACCGCCTTATGCCGGCCCGCGCTTCCTTGCTAATGCGCAACATGCACATCAAGCGCAGGCACACCGTGGATATCAAGCAACAGGTAATCACTTTAAATGTCTAAATGAAATATCATAAAGACAATAAAGTATACAGAAGCAGTGTCATAACTCTTCGCAGAATTAGCATATTGAGGTAAATGGGTTAGCAAAGAATCCGCGATAAGGAGAAAATGTCCACAAGCTGTTCTAAAATGTTACAAAGGGAACAAAATTTACGGAAGATAAGGGTAATTAGCATAATGGACGTGTCCAGGTAATGGAAAGCCATTAACATAGTCAAAAGTCGCCAAGTGAAGTGGAGTGAAATGTATGCAGCTTAAAGAGACGTGGTTTCAGTGTAAGTTGGTTTATCCCAACTGCGGTGAAGATGCATCAAGAATGCAACATCACCGTTATCATGGGGCACATACATATATATATATATATATATATATATATACATAAATATATATAACTGCATGGTTGGGGGCATCGTGTTACTGATTTGCCTGTCACTGTGTGCACACACACGACGCCTGCGGCTGCAGAGGGACCATGGATGGCTTGCGCGGCAACACGCACAGCCCCCACCACTCACCACATATGCAGTGTAAACCCAAAGTAATAAGACCTGCAGGCATGAGGATGGTAGCCCCGTGTCATCAACGGAACCGGCCCACACTTCTTCACAGACGAACACAAGCACCCGGTATATCGGAAATGAAGAGCACACATGTCGGTGGCTTGACGGTATACCGCTGTACACGGAGTGCATGTGACCTCTCTTCGTGTCTAGCACGGTCACACGGACGGTTTACCTCTTCCCCCCATCCTCGACCAACGGTATCCTGTAGGGGGTATGGACGAGGTGGTGTGTACTTAGCAGGTAGTCACGTTGTCAACATTCACATCAACCGCAGCCACAACGGGGGATATGAAGGAGCGGCCAATGACCTGGAACTACAACATGAAAGAAAGCCAATGCCGTCATGCATACAGATACAGTGGCATAACTCTAAGCTATATAAAGATATCAAGTAACTTTGTTGGCAACAAAGCCGAGATATGGAAATATGTCCACAAGTTAGGTGGACGGCAGTGAATGGGCAGTCATTGGGCGGTGCGTGTGGACATCACTGTAGAAACATTACGGAAGCATGGCGTCCCTTACCTGTGACAAGGTGGCATTGAAGGTTAACATGGCGGTGGGCGATGCGTCGGAGTCAGGTAGGCGGCGGCAGTGAATGGGCAGTCATTGGGCGGTGCGTGTGGGCATCACTGTAGAAACATTACGGAAGCATGGCGTCCCTTACCTGTGACAAGGTGGCATTGAAGGTTAACATGGCGGTGGGCGATGCGTCGGAGTCAGGTAGGCGGCGGCAGTGAATGGGCAGTCATTGGGCGGTGCGTGTGGGCATCACTGTAGAAACATTACGGAAGCATGGCGTCCCTTACCTGTGACAAGGTGGCATTGAAGGTTAACATGGCGGTGGGCGATGCGTCGGAGTCAGGTAGGCGGCGGCAGAGATTGGCCAATCATTGGGCGGTGCATGTGGGCATCACTGTAAAGCAATATTACAGAACAATGGCGTCCCTTACCTGCGAACAAGTGCGATTGAAGGTGAACATAGCGGTGGGCGATGCGTGGGAGTCAGGTACGTAGCGGCAGTGAAAGAACAATCATTGGGCGGTGCGTATGGGCTTCATTATAATAACACATGACAGCAGTATGGTTTTCATTACCTGTGAGCAACTCCGACTGCAGGTTGACATTGCGGTGTTGAATCCGTCACAGGTGCCTCATTGGCGCCAGAGAATGCGCAGCGTATGGGGGTGCATGTGGGCTTCACTGTAAAACACCACTGCACATAAACCGGATTTCTTACCTGGGAAATGCTGTCATGGCAGGTTCACATGACATTGGCAAAGCGACCAAGGTAGCTCCGTGTACCACATTGATCAGCACACCATCGGGGTTACAGGTGGGTTCAACTGCAGCACAAAATCACACATGTATCCTATTTCTTACCTGCGATGACATATGACAGCGCGTAATGGAATAACATTTCTCCGTGTGTATGCGTTCCCGTGATAATGGACAAGCATCAAGCAACGGAAGAAAATAAATGCGAGGATGCTTCCAGGAAATTTTACGTCCTGTCAGCATGTGTTACACACATTTATCCATCTACCTACCGGTACGTAATAGCTCATGCCCTGCCATTGACCCACTGCATACATGACAACCGCATTACGGTGCCTAAACGACCGTCCGTAAACGGAATACCAGTAGTAACTTACCGTTGCACGTTTCCTCCGTGCTGCACATGTATCGGTGCATTGTTCCATTGAAAATCAAAGGTGTTGATATCAAGGGGAAGTAAAGGCAGCATGCTATAACGGAAATGAAATCACGGTTAGCGCACATATAAGGTACATACCTGAGCGGTGTGCCATGCAACGGCGATGAGGCACGTTACGGTTACCTTAGGACGAGCACGAGAAGCACAGAAATTCCTCCGAACCGGAATAGCACACGCAGGACGCGTGGTACCAGTGGGAGCACGCGTCGCACTGTACCCATTGCACCGATTCTCCATCGCCATCAACATCCTCCTCTTGCTGACATACTCCGCACAAATCCTTCGAAAGGAAGCCCTGAGTTCCCCGTCTCTGGCTCACAGGAACACGGTAGCCCCTGGATGTCCGAGTGCGAAGGATACGGAATCGTTTGCCCCTTAGCGCACTCTTATCCGGGCTGACCTCTGTCACCCTGCACTTAAGGGGCGATTTCCGTTTCCTGGACACACCTGTGGATGTGGATGGTACAGGTGTTTCGGTTTCATTCCCACGCACCGCCTCATTCACTTGCGTACCTTGCGAAGGGCCAACCGCTTCTCCCGTCGACGTCGGGCAGACCGCAGACGCTGAGCCAGCAGCAGACGTCCCCGCAGTAGGAAAGCCGCATAACATTCGCACGTTCTCCTCGGTATCCAAATGAAGGGGTACAGGCCACCTTGAGGTTCGCCCATACAACTGGAAAGTGGGGTCCTTGGACATCAGCAAGGCAACCATTTTGAGGTAATTCAAGGCACCTGAGAAGTTCTGCGAGCCGTACGTAACCAGTTGAGCACCAATGTCCCCTAAGACATGCTGCGTCCTGCGAAGTTTCAAGGTGCGGTTCAAAACTGCATCGCCATCCACCGCGTTACGTTGCACAATCTGCACCCTCTCAGCTGACGCAACGGACTCCGATGACGCTGCTGCAGGTAGCCGGGGTGCGATCCAGCGACATCCATGAAGTATGTTCCGCGCAGCGTGAGGGTGCCGAGCCGCCACATAACAAATGTGAGCACATGGCAGCCGCCACTGCCGATGAAACTCACAATCGCATTCACTGCCCCGCGTTATGTACACCCTGCGCACTCTCGAACGAGGACAGTTCACCAACCAGTAAGGCCCATCAGCCCTACAACTGAGAACCGTCGAGGTACGGAAATGCTGCATGAAAACATCCCCCGCAAAGTCGCTTAGTTTGCAGAATACTGATGCGACTGAGGACACCTCCGATGGAACAGCAATTTCGCTCATGCACCGCCTACCTAGTATGCTGTTCCTTCGGTGCACCAGTGTGTTCACCCTATCAACCACGCAATTGAATAGGGTGAGTAGGGATGACCTCTCAGACAGGTATTCCTTCAAATGTCGGTTTTCATTCTCCACCCTGTTGGTGGTGTGGCAACCAAATAGAATGGTATCCCTGAGTCTGTGCGCCGCCCAAGAGTCGGCGTGGGGAATCCACGTCGCGCACAAATAACCGTACAATTCAGGAGACGCCCTGCCCACCGCGTTCAGTATGCTGTCAAACACCGAGGCGTCTCGTGTGTATATGAGGTTATGCAGCCAACCTCGTAATTGCATTCTACGCGGATCAGAGATCCCGCGTAAGCGGCCGCAACGTCTAGACATGTCCACTTTCACGTGGTAACGACAAAAAACTACCTTCGCGTCCGGATAAAATCGTCTGAAAGCGCGGATCTGAGCAGCGCATTTATCCATTACCACCGTGCGGCAACGTAAGGTGCTAGGCACCATATCCCGCATCGCCTCAACCGCCTGCCCATAGCTGTAGGATGTCTCATCCGGTAATAGGGCATAGAAAAAGGAAATGCCCAGACCGGTGACATCGACCAGCATGCAGTGCCACAAAACGTAGCCGCCATAATTCAGTTGATGGGTCGCATCGCATAAAATCACCTCACAATAACGACTTACAATGCCGCCAACTAAGGATGGAGAGAAAAACACGTAACGTATTTGACTGCCCTCGGACACCAACCGACACGCACCGTGCTCTTGCAACATCGTTGACACATCAGACACTTCACAAGCATTCCCATTGCGATGACGAATCCGCAAATTGTACAGGTCGAGACGAGTTACCATTTTTCCGTACTCCAAGTAAATAAAATGACGCAAATCCGGGGTACTATGGAAACTACCCATCAAACGCAGAACTTCCCTCTCTTGCTCCGGAGACAGACGACGGTTCGCTGCATACAACCATGGGTTGCCAACATGAAAATCATGACTATGCGTCATGACGTAACTCCCAACGACATATTTCCCATCTTTCAAAACCACCGAGAACCGAGCCTTGCAATCGTATGATTTGTATCTACATGCGTTAGTAGCCTTGATGCAAAAGATTAACACAACTTACCGCTTGCCACGTGGTGCTGAACGTTTACGATGAACGCAACGGTACATGATGTAACCGCAGCGTTCCCCATCGGGAACCGGCTTCCTCCTTCCACGATGGTATGCCGCAGCAGACTTCGAACATGCACGGGAAAAACAAGTCGCCGTCGCAATCTGAAAACGTTGCACCCGCTTCACAAGGTCCTCTACACTTTCATACTTCCCAATAACCATAGACCTGAACAGCGCACTATCATCGACAACCATGCCGATAG